TACCTTTTTGAATGTTAGCATTAGTGGTTGACATGGTCTGGAAAACAGCTCAGAGCAAACTTATCAACCTTTAATACTCTCAGCAAATGCTGAACTACTGTGAAGTGCTGAAAGTTACTCTAATCCAGTGGTTCTCAACCTGTGTCCCCTCAGATGTTTTGGCCTTCAACAGCTGGTAAACAGGCAGGGATTTTTGGAAGTTGTAGGCCTAAATACCTGGGGACCCACAGGTTGAGAAGCACTGATCAAATCAAACAGAATCACTCAGAGATCACGTTTTCTGCAATCAGGACTATGCTAAGTGCTAAATGTATATCACAGCATAGATCGGCCTAAACAGACGAACCCATGTCCATATGTAGTGTTGCAAAAGACTTGTTATTAATAGGGCAGGCAAGAATTTTCAATGGGACTCTTATCCATTTAAGTCAGACTGGGTTGCAAATTAGTATGTTGAGAGGGATGAGACATGAAAGCAGAGGAGGACATCATAAATATTTCAGCTAAATTATCAGAAGAAGTTGTGCAAAACCTTGTAAACAGTTGAAAGGGCAATATGTTTTGTATGGCTAGTACAGTGGTTCTCAACTTATGGGTCCCCAGGTGTTTTGCTCTAAAACTCCCAGAAATCCCAGCCAGTTTACCAGCTGTTAGGATTTCTGGGAGTTGAAGGCCAAAACATCTGGGGACCCACAGGTTGAGAACTACTGGGCTAGGGCAAGAACCTGATGGATTGTCCAGATTTGTGGCTGATGTGCCACCATGACTTCACCATCTCTGGATTCTGGTATTTGGACACAAACCAGCCAATGCTTTCAACGAGAGTATTAAAGTCTTAAATCTCATCCACTGAAAGCAGCGAGTCTTCACAGGAAGAAGTGACCTATAGTAAATGAGAGGTGAAGTAGATTTGAAGTGTTGAAAGAATACTAGATGCAATTAACACTATATGTTATAGTAGACATAGGGTTCTTGTTACATGAAATATGAAATGTGTGCTTTTTCAATGTCCTTATAACGCAGGCATGGCAAACTTTGGCCCTCCAGGTGTTTTGGACTTCAACTCCCACAATTCCTAACAGCCTCAGGCTCCTTCAGGAAGGGGCCTGAAGTTGTTAGGAATTGTGGGAATTGAAGTCCAAAACACCTGGAGGGGCCAAGTTTGCTCATGCTTGATACAGAAGGTTCGAATCCTGTCTTCTCCAATTAAAACATCATGGGGAAGAGGATGGGGAAATATCTCAACCTATGAACTTTAGAGGATTCTAGCAGGTTAGTATTACTAACACTGGAAAAAACTGACCAATTGATTGATTTGCTACAAGGCAGGTTTAGATGAGCTGATAATGTTTACAAAGAAGCCCCTAGAACCAGTTTTTAGCAGCAATATAACCAATGTTTGCAAAACTTTCTGTCAGATGCAATCAAAATGAGAAGAGACAGATGACAGAAAATGTGTTAAATGACTTGGTGTCTTAGAATAACATTTTTAGCAGCTAACACCAACTCATAAGGGCCGGGCCTTTTACAGAAATGTGGTGGAGTTTATAACACAAGCAGAATGCCTTTAACCATTCTGGGATTTTTGTAGTGACATTATGCTGGCTTTAAGCAAACTCTAAACAGACACAACAGTCTGTGTCTTTTTTTCAGGTTCTGCATTCAGTATACAAATTTATGGATTTAACTTGGATTTTATTATTCATGGGTTTGATTAACACCTTCTGGCAGAAGTTGACCATAGAATCACTCGGGTGGATCTAGAGTAGTGGTTCTCATCCTGTGGATCTCCAGGTGTTTTGGCCCACAACTCCCAGAAATCCGAATGTTTACTGGCTGTTAGGATTTCTAGGAGTTGAAGGCCAAAACATCTAGAGACCCACAGGTTGATAACTACTGATCTATAGATTCTTAGAGATGTGTTCTCTCATGTTTTTTCTTTCTTTCAATACATGCTTTACCACTTTCACTGGGGTCCTGCAGCCCTAACCTCTGGGAATGTGGAGGATCTACTGTATTTTAAATTCATTTATTTCCTGTATTTCTCCTGCTGTGAAACCCAATGTGGCATCTAGGTCTTCTGATCTACATATAATATATTAGAAGACCTAAATGACAACAACTGAACAAATCTTCATGTGCCTCCATTTTAATCCACATCAGCATCATATGCATAAATCTATATTCATGCATAATCTAAATAAATGTACATTCTTGCATAAACCTAGATTAGGGCAATAGCTAATCCAATCCATCCACCTTCCCAACTGAGTCCCCTCTAGATGTGTTCTATTGCAACCTATAATCCATGTTGGCAGGAGGTTATGACAGCTAGAATCATAGAGTTGGAAGAGACCTCGTGGGCCATCTTGTCCAACCCCCTGCCAAGAAGCAGGAAAACTGCATTCAAAGCACCCCTGACAGATGGCCATCCAGCCTCTATTTAAAAGCCTCCAAAGAAGGAGACTCCACCACACTCCTGGGGCAGACAGTTCCACTGCTGAACAGCTCTCACACCTGTGTCTGAACACATCTGAAGGTTCCAGGTTGGAAAAGATGGAGTTCAATCGAAGTATCTAAACACTCTACAAAATGACATGGATCAATGGCTGTTTCTAACTTCAACCCAACTTGAGATTGCTTACTAAAAGTAAATGAAGTTGTGAGATGTGGAACAAATTTTTTTCAGACCTCCCCAAAGACTGATTTCATTTTGCAGCCATCACAGTATTTTGTTGTTCTTGGCCATGAAGATACTTTGATTCCCAGCTAAGGCAATGCGGTAGTGTTCACTTGACTGGCCACAACACCTCTCCTTTCCTACCAAACAGCATTTACCAGAGAGTTGGAGACCCCTAGAATCAACAACTTGTGAAATGATTTCGATGAGCATATTAGTATGTGTATGTTCCTGTTGCCTACTTCCAGTTACAGTAGACAGTGTTAATGGATGAATAGTAAATCTACATGTAGGTTAGTCTACATCAAGCATGGGAAATCTTTGGCCCTCCATGTGTTTGGAATTCAACTCCCACAATTCCTAACAGCCGGAGGGTCAAACTTTGCCTATGCCTCATCTACATGCAGTTGAATCCACCAGGCATTTTTGAAATAATTGTTTTCTATCCAAAAGGAAGCTTCTCTGCTACATGTAATCTTGATGTTCAAATTGTGTTGAAAATGCTTTAAAAGAAACCTCAGAGAAAATCAATACAGAACTAGAAATACATTTACATATACAATATCCTAGCAATTTTGATGAAGTTTTCCATCACCAGAATATACCTGAATTAAAAGAAGGAAAATCCCTAAAACTCTTTATCAAAGCTTAGAAATACTGCTTTAAAAACACAGCTGATCTGCGAGTGCAAAAGGCACACATTTAGCGATTGTTTTATTATTATTATTGTATAGTAATGCAGAAGGAAAAGAAAACTGGTTGGAATCATGTTATTTAGTGACTAAATTAAATGTCTCCATTTGTTTTTGGTGTCCCAAAGCCAGGACTTGATCTCCATTTGGACTCATAACTTTTATTTTCAAAATGCCTTGTGAATCCATCTTGTTCAAGGATAACTCCCTTTTTTGAGTCAAGTGTTGTGTACAGAAGTGCTACAAACTAAGCTATTATTTGTGATGTCATTCTTTAATTTTTGTTCAAAAGGTAAAGTAAGTGATCTTTTTTTTAAAGGGTTCGCACTCTTGTTATTAATTTGTAATACTTCATGACAACCACCAATAATCTTTGTTCCCAGCATCACTGTCTCATTGTAACTTTGGCACCTGTTTTGAAGAAAGAAGCTTTAATAAATAAAGGAAAGGAAAACTCATGAACGAACTGTAATAAATAATAATCATTATAATAACTTAAATCTCAATAAATATTTTTCTCTAGATTTGTCTCTGACTGGATGCATTGCATCGAGTAGTCTCTGCTCACTCACGACGACCCCAAATAGAAATGTAGTTAATTAAGTAAGTGATCTTAGTCCTTTTGTAAACCACAAAGAAAAAAGAAAAACAAAGATCCACATATTTTTCTTATGGTGTAGTCCAAGCAGGAATAAGTGATTAAAAACACAACTTGTTTTTTCAGAGAGCAGAAAAGGAGGACCGAACCTAACTCTCATCCCTCCCCCAACAGAATAATCATACGAAAGTTCAATTCTATGTGAGATAGAACTAACAAAGCAGGCCCCTTTGGTACAGTTTGCTTGGGATAGGTTTTCAAGTCTGTGTGGACTTTAGCTAGCTTATTGAAACCCCTGCTTGACTTGTGCCCAATATACTAAAAATATTTTTGCTAGCATCTTGGACCTGGGACTCAGGTTACTCCAGTGGTGTGAGAACTTCAGAAGTGCCACTACTTCCTGTCCCACCAGGTAACACGAGACGCCCCATGCCATGTGAGAGACATCTGTGCCTGGCCCTTCTCCAAGCCAGAGTTAACCCAATTTTCTGAAAGTTACCCCACCCATGAGAGGAGAAGCTGCAGCAAGGGTTTCTTCTGCACGGTGTAGCACTTCTCTGATGGTGCAAAGAGGAGAGACTGTCATATTACAGAAAGCAGGGGCAACCTAGTGATTTCTCCACTACCACGATGAAATGAATATGGAGCCTAAATTATGGATTCTAACACAGACCTTAGAGTTACTGGATTTCAAGCCCTGGGGTTCTTTAGAATGTTATCAGGTGTTCCTCAGGGAGAAAATTAGAGATAGTAGGCATGAATGACAACCTGCCCAACACTACTAGCTTTAAATATACAGCTATAAGAGAATATTGATGGAATTCTAAGTTGCATTTTCAGTTGGGTTTGGGTAGACCAAAGAAACCCAATAGGCCTAGCCACCAGTCTTCAAGAACTCTGAGCTCTTCTTAGAATGTGCCCAAGTTCTCTTCATTACACTGTTTTGCAGCATCTCCCATGTTCCCCTTCATTTGTAGTCCCAAACAGTTACATATCCCATCCCTAGCTTGCACACCCCACCTCTGCTTCAGATAGGGCTTGCTGCATCAGCTTAATGAAGAAACTAAATAATTGCTTGGCAAACAAATTGACATGGGAGAGTTGCCAGGGGTTAGAAAATCTGAAACACTATGCTTTAAACAATCAAACCCAGCACAGGGTTGTGTATGTGATTATTTTTGTGTGCAGTAGCTTCAGTGGAGCCAACCTTTTTGTCTTCCCTACCCATGCATTTTTGTCCTCCTTCAAATATAACACCCTTGTAACTGCCAATCCCTTTTCTGTTACTTTGTTCTTTAATTTCGCACCATGTTCCTGCTTGCTCTGCTCGTAGGATCTTCATCTGTCTATACCCAGTGGTAAATGCCCTAGTGGTAAATGCTAGATATTGCATCTGTTCAAACTACAATTCTCATGAGTAGACTTCAATGGGAGAAAGCCATGTGCCTTGGTGGGATAGGCGGTTCTACTGGGAACAGCGAGAAAGAAGGCAATTATGCCTAAAGGTTCTTGCAATTCATCAACCATATTCTCTTTCTCAAAGGTGTTAGCTGGCACATGGCTTAGATGCCCATCAATCATAAACTCCTAAAATTACCACCATTTGCAATTCTCTTAAATCAGGAATCCTCAAACTGTGGTCCTCCAGCTGTTTGGGCCTCCAACTCCCAAAGCCCTAATCAGCTTGTTGAATGGTCAGGAATTCTGGGAGTTGGAGACCCAATCAGCTGGAGGGTAGCATTTTGAGGATGTCTGTCTTAAACTGACAGGTTGACATTCTGAAGTTAAGGCTAGCAGTAGTGACTGTTAATTCTAATTTGGTAAGTTATAAAGCCACTTCTCAAACAGAGGCTGTGTTATTAAGCACCTGCTAAGCCAATATTTGCCAATGGTGGATCACCTCAATGCAAATGGTGGCAGTCACCTTCATCCATCCTGGATGTCTGCCCTGAGCACTGATGTCCATTTGCGTTCCTGTAGAAACAAAGACCTCCAATGGTTGTATCTTCTCCAATCATCCTGTACTGGATTTCAATCAACCAGGCTCCCCGCAATTGCCGTTCTCCTGTACGCTTGGTCCTCTTCCTTCATTCAGAGCCACCATTCCATCTCTTGGGGAGCCTTGGTCCCTTCTTTGTCATTTTAGCAGGAATGCAATATCATAGCAGTGTCCAAACACCAAAGGACATCAGACGCATCCACATTTTTTAGCGGAATGTTTTCTCAGTATATGGTAAGTTGATAGGTCATCATCCAAAAATGAAAGGTCATCATCAAAAGCAATGGGTCTGCAACAAGGCTGTGGTCTGATTTTGTCACTGACCAACTTTCTGTTTTGCGTTAAATTGTTTAATATTTGGTCATACAGGGTTACGGCAGACTCGCACGAACCACTACAATATCGAAAAATCAGCTCTTCTTTGGTTGTGTATCCCAAACCCAAGTCAGTCACGTTTAAGTGTATCTCAGCTAAGACACAATCCCGATTTTTGACCCTTTGGCCTCTCCGTCCCTTTCTGCTGCTGGAATTATTTCTGTTTTTGTCTGCATTTTGCCGGTTTCTTTCCCGTTTCGAGAAAAATGGAGTTGGTTTATCGGGCGACCGCTTCAGTCTTTGTATAGTGGCTTGAATAAAATCCACTACATCACCAAGCCGGTTAGGATAATCCTCAGGCATATTAGCTGTTTCAAAGAGAAAGAAAGGAAAAATTATTTATTTATTTACACAGGTTTTTTCTACACTTCTTCCCATATATTATAGTGGCAGTGATCCTGGACTGTGTATACATAGAACTATAAAACATTTGCCTTCACACACACCCCAAGCCCTAGCTTTTATTGATCCCCACCTTTCCTCCAAAACATCAAATTTATTGGCTGATGAAGACCATAAGAACAATATATGTGTCTAGTTATTTTGTTATAGCTTAATGTACAGGATCTTGAAAACAGGTTTAAACTACTGATTTATTGCATAGTTTTGGAATGACAACCATTTCAAGTTTAAATTAAGTTCCAGAATGAGCAAAGCTAAAGTCAAGACCCTGCATCAGAGGTTACAATGCATAAATTTACAATAAAATTGCAGCATTGCTGACATGATAGTCAATTTTGACAATAGACAGTGTTGTTATACTACTGGGACTTCTGTTGGGGAAGATGTCACTTTGTGCAACAGGGATTCCTACTGGACTGTGCACTGGGACACACTGCTGGCTCCACTTGCGCGAAAGACCTGATGGAGAACATACACCTTCCCTACACTTCTGTGAAAATGGCAATTGTACAACAGCACAATTCAACTTTACATTATTATAAGTTGGTTTAAGATGATAATAACTTTCCAACAGGATGCTAGCCTATTAACGTTACAGCTATTTGATAGCTTTGGCTTATTGATATTATTTTACAGATGAAGAATCAAATTCACAGTTATCTAAGGTTTTTTTCCTTTTTATTTATTTTAATCTGGGAAATATTTTACCTTTCTTTGCCAAGGCTGCAAACATCATAAAAAGTGCTGCAAAGAATAAAGTTTTATCATTGAAATCAAAAGTATCATATCTACCCGTGTACAAATGGACCTCATATATAAATTGAGGGCATTTTTTGTGGCTACATGTATGGATTTTGATGTAACCCATGGATAACCCTAGGGTAATTCTATGGAATACACAATTTGTTCCTACTTTGCTGTGTTTTGCCGGGATGCAGGACACGCACACAGGCTGGTCCTTTGCACACACAGAAAAAAAAAACAAGACTGAATCATTATAATAGACACTCGAGTAACCCATAAGTATTGAATCAAAGCCAATTCAGCCAGATTAATGCATACTGTATATGTTTATGTATACGCCTAAAATTTTTAGTCAAAGATTGACCCCAATAAACCACTTCAGGTGGTCAGCTGTTCCTTGCCACCAATACTATCTTCCCATCAAAGCATTCAAATATGATAGGAGTGGCACCACGGTGGAAACAGTAGAGGAGGGCCAGTTTCTTTTTTTGATACGAGTTAAGGCGTAGTACTTACATTAAGTTGTGGATAAGTTGACATAGTTTATTGGGGTCAATCTTTGACTAAAATTTATAGGCATATACATAAACATATACAGTATGCATTAACCTGGCTGAACTGGCTTTGATTCAATGCTTATGGGTTACTCAGGTGTCTATTATAATGAATCAGTCTAGTTTTTTTGTGTGTGCAAAGGACCAGCCCGTGTGCGTGTCCTGCATCCCAGCAAAACACAACGAAGTAGGAACAAATTGCAACTGAATAGAGGTAGACAAAGTTGTTTACTTCTGGTGCATATCTCATTCGTATTCTCACCCATCATTTCATTTTATTTCCACAATAATCTTTTAAATATACACATATCTATTTATTCATTTATAGCATATATGGAAATGTTTGCTTAATTTCAAAATATACATTCAGATATATATTTCTTTTGCTCAAAGCAAGCAGTTGAAAGTGGTGGGTGTGTATCAGAGGTGGGTGTCACTTCAGTTGATGTACCCTTTTGACCTCCTGAAGTTTCCTGATGCCTGGAGAGGAATTCAGAAAAGACCGACAGGTTTTCATGGTGAGATGTACCCTAAAAAACCTCCCTCCTCATGCAATATAATTAGAAGTTCTCCAACTGTTAACCTGTGGAGTTGCGTGCAGTCATTTTGAACTGTTCTTGTTATTTGATCTTCCCACATGGCATAGTATGAAAGAAGAATACTGATTTACAGGTAGATGAATATAGCTATAAAATTCATATCTTGCCTTTCTACTAAGAGAGAGAGAAAGAAAGAGATCCAAGTGACTTACGAAAGTATGCAATTAAAAATAAAAGTTGGCCGATTATCAAAATCGGAAATCAAAAACATATCAAAAGATTGAGCCAGTACCCAAACAGCTACAGAAAATCCACTTCAACAACAGACTAGCTGAGATGACAAAAGCCTGACAAGAAAAGAAATCTCCTTGCCTGCCAGCAGAAAAAGAAAACACACTGAGAGAAGTTCATCTCTTTTTACAGGAATTCTATAGTCTGGGAACCAACACCACAGGACCTCTCTTAAGTATCTCATCAGACATGTTGAAATGGTGGTGGCACCAATAGTAAGACTGCCCTGAAGATCTTAAAACCTGGGAAAATGCAGACCAAGATCCTGCAACATTAGGCAGTGGTACAACAAGACACCTCCTTTGTCAGAGTTACTTATGCTAATGCCATACATGCACCCTCTTTCCCACAAAGAAAACCCAAATAAACCTCACTTCTTAAGTCAAGCAGCATTCACACAGCAGGTTTTCCAAGGTATTGCAAACTGCAGACCTGAGAAAATATAGCTGCAGCACCCTGGCTGTGGAGCCCCTTGAGATTGGCAACAAGAGAGACCCCATGGGATTCTACTGCAGCTGCTTGTTGCAACACACCACACAATTGGGGGAGTGCCACAGTCAAGATTCCCCACACCTTGACAGGCAGTGTCTCAAAAAACCCTTCGGACACTGACTGGCTTTGGGAGTCAGGTGTGCTCATTACCAAACATAACCATAACTCCTAAATGTTATGAGATCACAAGTCCAGCTTATAAATACTAAATAAGATGTTGGTCAAGGCCTTTTAAATAACCTAGTATATATAGGCCTAGAAACTAATAGCAATTTGAATTATGCTCCCAAGAAGACAGTGAAATTTCCTTCTTGAAGAAGTCACAAAGCTCTCTGTGACTGACCCCCGTCAACTGTTTCAAACTTTCAAAAGTTAGGTAAACTACAAAGCATCTAATGCTGTGGCCAAAAGACCCCCTTTTAGTAACAGGGGTTATAAAAAGGGCCCACAATCCATGCATCAGTATGCTGAAATGTTAACAAAACCAACAATCAAAAATGAAATCTCAAATTAACTACAGGCTTCGCAGCAAAACCTATAAGGCACTGCTGAAATGGAAACCCATTAGCAGCACTCATTAATGAAAAATAACATCAAAGATACTGAGGTCAAATAATGTTTAAATGATTAATGCCTGTTCTGGTTCATTACTTTACTTGCTGCCTTTCTAATGAAGAGTGGGAGATGCAGGAGGGCAGTTTAATTTATTTTTCCCTTTGCTATTCCCCCTTTCCATGAAAACCGAAGCCTGGACTGATCAGAAAAGAGAAGAAACCATGATATTTTAAAATTTCAGATATAATTAATATGGGTGAGGGAAAAATAATTTGAATTTGCATTGTAAGTTACTGTTTCAGTTATGGAGTGAAATCTAGTCATTCTTCAAATCTCACTCTTCTCCAAATGTAATGAAATTCATAAAACCAACCCACATTTTGGAGGAGACTGTACTGATGAAAATACATGCATTCATGAAAGTAAAATGTCTTATATTAGGAATTTTGCAAAATTGTGGTTACTAAGTAAAGATGCATACAAAATTGTATGCAATTAGAACAGACTTGCACAAAAATTCATACAATTTTTCATACGGACTCAAAATGGTGCAAATAGAGTGGAAAAGCATAAGAACTAAAAGATTTGAATGATCAACTTAAAATTTCTGTTAATGAATTGTTAGTGGTCATTACGCAATGGTTGGGATAAAGCTGTGCACGTTTACAACACTATGTTAATAAGAGTTCGCCATTCTGCGCAATTGACTCTTAGTTAAATAAAACTACGAAAAAGTGAGAAAATGTATGATTCATGTTTAAACCTCAGTCTACAGGTACTAAAAAGATTAGTATACAACACTATGTAAATAAAAGTTCACCATTCTGCACAATTGACCCTTAGTTAAATGAAACTATGAAAAAGTGAGAAAATGTATGATTCATGTGTAAACTTCATTCTACATGTACTAATGCAGATTAGTATTAAAAAAAAATCTGGACCGGCCCCTTCTGTACATGAAGTGTGATAACAATGGAAGATTTCCATTTTTAAGAGATGAAAGGAGGATAGCTAACTCTCCCAGCTCTTCCCATTTGCCTCCAGGTATTAAAAAGTGAGGTCAAAAAAGACAAGGCTGTAAAAGAGAGAAGGGCTCAGTCTGCCTGATCCACATGTCCCCTTTGCTCTAAAAATGACTTTGGATGTAGTTGTGGCAGATCTGGATTTATACAAAAGTACATAAAGCATATTGAATGTGGATATTGGAAACCGAAGTTCAAATCCCCACTTTGAAGCTTAGTTTTCTAAACATAAGCAGTATCTCGCTCCGGAAGTAAGAGGGATATTTATATCTTCCCGATCAAACAACTATGGGGCGTACCCATGTGGCAGCATATCCCTAGTTGGAGAAGGAATCACGGGGCAAATGGGTGCTGCGCATGCAGTTCCTTCCCTTGATCCAGCTGCTGGAGCTGCGTGTCAGGAAATTGCCGAGAGTGTGCCAGTCAGCTATTTGGGGTAGTGGAAGCGCTGGATTTAGTTCTGTCTCCACCTGCCAAACAGATAATCAGCACCATCCTTGGCGGTTCTCTACACATAGGCCAGACTGTCGCACAAAGATCCCCCTTTCATTGGTTGGACCTGTAATGCCATAAGCAGACATGGACTACCACTGCTTCTCGTACCTGCTCCCATACGTGAGTTACCCTGACTTTTCAAGCACATGCTTTTTCTCCCTACCAACATGCCTTTGCATGGCATAGGAGGAAAGGCAGATGAAGCACTTGAAGG